GAAGTCTGTTTGCCTATGCTGAATTATTTCTGCTCTCGTGCAGGAATGTGGGCTTTGTAGGACTAGCCCATGCTGTGGCATTGCAGGTGGCTTTTCTGCCTTGGTTTAACACTTCATCGAGGCTGAACTATTGACTTTGACTCACACAGGTATCTCTACAAGGCTGGTCAAACGTAGCCCATACCAGAGTTTCATAGCTTGATTGGAGGTAGAGAGTGGGCTGAATAGGTATAAGGAGTGGGAAGGTGGGGGAAAGTAGAGAATTTCAACTTGAAAACAAGACCCTGCCATGAGTGAACCACAGACATACAGACAGGTTTAGCTAAGGACAAGCTACATCTTGAGGCTTCTTTTTTCATTTTCATTTTAAAAGTTACTTTCTGAAGCTTAGGTTCATAGCTTTTCAGACAGTATGTTCCTGAAGAATATACACCGGTAAGCACAGGGAGCCCTGATGGGAGGCTTTCCCAGTAACAGGTTAGGTCAAGTCTCAGCAGGTCCAGAAATGTAGGGTAGTATCCCAGAAAAAGATGTCAGTCAAGTGTTTGGTGCCTAGGAATATGAGCTACTGTCTGAAAGCAAGTAGTAATGACAAGACTAGCCAAATTTAGTGGCTGAGAAACCAGCATCTAGGTTTTAGCAGCTAGTTCTCCTAACAGACTGGTGATTACCTGACTCTCCCTAGAGCCAGTTTGTAACCAGCCTTTTTTTAGTAAGGTCTTTCCAGTCAAACCAAATGATCAGTCAGCATTGGACATCCACCTGAACTAATGGGGAACAAAATAACATCCCTCAGCACCGTGGCACAACAAGGGAGGCAGAATCACTATGCTGCGTGTCGATAAAAGAGCTGAGTGTCAATTGCAGTGTATTAATCTTAGTCAGCTGTGAGTTAAAAAAAAATGTACCATAGATTAGGAAGTAAGATTTCAGATAAATATGAAGAACTGATAGTGGGATTCAGTGAGAGATCTCTGATGTTGGGCCCTGAATCGTATCTGCCAGCCCCCTTCAGGCAACACGTTGCAAATGGATCTAGGCACCTACATTAAATCCCACCCTTAATCCATACAGTTATCTGGACCTAGACAGCGATTCTGCTGTGTGCCATGCTACGGCTACTGTACAGTGAGCTGAATTACTCTCTAGAGTAATTGAGTCTCTAGACTCCATTAGCTAGATGGACTAGAAGTGGAGTATAGATATCTAGTGCCATGTGAGGTTTTCCAGGCTGTTTAGGATGTTTGCAAGTGGGCTGCAGATATTTCATAGGCCTGTGTCTTTCTGGACTGGCAGCTGAGTGGAGCCTGAGATCTCCATTGCCTATGATAGGAACCTGGGCATCTAGCTCACATGTAGACAGCTAACTATAGGTGTCCTCATTTCAAACTGAATCCCACTGTAGAAGCAGGATTAATTTGCCTGAAGATAGGTGCCAGTTATCATGTGACACATCCTACGGTATCCCAAGCCTCTCTGTGGGGCTGATAGGTGTGGCTTAGGATTTATGGGAGACTCATACCTCTCTGAAACTGTAATTGGAGACTGGAATACTCTGAAGGACCTAAAACAGCATTAGACACCTATGTCTAGGCAGCTGCTTTAAACCGCTGTCCCAGATTTCCATATGGACTCTCTGCTCTGTCATGGGCTTCTTCTATCTTTATCTCTGTCTCTTTTTGAACTGCTTTATTAATCTACATCCACAGAGCCTGAGGACTTTAACACACTGTTTTTTGTGTTTAGCTGGTGTATTATCGTCCCACTTTATTTCATTCACACTCTAGAGGCAAACATTTAAGATGGGATTCTTCTCACCTGCTTTCAGCTGTCTGTAGATCATAAGTCTTGTCTAAACTAAATGATAGGTTCTGTCCATCAGTGGAGAGAGATGGACTCACAAAGAGTGACTCATCCTGCACACCTTAGAAACCAGTCTTCTCGTGGGTATTCATTTTCTATAGAGGCAGACAAGATGACCAGCTTAGAAAGCAAACTTGTGTGAAATAGTCTCATATTGTTACACTTCATATATCTTTATTCCTTTGAGGGAGTAACTGGTACCTCCATACCTTTGGAGAAAGGACTAACCTGTGGGATTCTCTTCCTCCGTGCTTCATGGTGGAATCAGGGATACTGAAATGCTGGAAGATCTCCCTGCACTGGTAGGGAACGATAGGGGAGGGCTGCCCTATAACCATAGGGCAAGTCCTCCATAATCCTATAGGTGCTCTATAGTTGGGCAGCGTCCTTGCAAGTGCAGATGACAGAGAGATGAAGTTGTGTATCTGGGAGTGGATGTGGTGGTGTCTTAACATTTGAGACAGGAAATCTGGAGATAAATCAGGTCGGACAGAGGGAAAACATATGGTACCTTTATGAGGAAAAATGTAGGTATTTTCTGAGAGAAGTTAAGATGTGTCTAAGACATA